CCGGGAGCTGGTTTTTATAGTCTCTGAGTCTTGGCCATTGATGGGATTACATGGCGCCAGGGGGCCAGGTGGTGGGTGTGACCCCCGCCTACTGGAATTTGGAGGATCTGGGTGGAGGATGCTCGACTCCAATCCGAGTAGGCTGGGAGATCTCGGCCCCGGAACCCGCGTGGCTTTGTCCCTCTGCCAGTACCTTCATGTGTGCGGAGAGTGGTCTCAGCATGGTGGTGGCTGGTCCTGGAGGTCTTCGGCTGCCGGAGCCCTGGTCGGGGCGGAAAGGAAAGCTCAACCTGCTCCCCTCCAAGGGGCCCTGGCGAGGAACAGCCAGGTGCGGGGGCAGACTGCACTGTTCTCCAGGGAAATTATAAAGTCCTCTATTTGGTGCCACTTTGAACAGTAAAAAACAGACATAAGTGAGCATTAACAAAATTCGAGAAGGTACTAGTTGAGGTACTAGTCTTATCCTTGCTGTTATTCACCTTTGAGAGAGTTACATAACAATACTTGCAACTTCGTCATTTGTGAACTATAAGGGAGCTCTAGGATGTGATCCTATGTGATCATAGAAAAACAAGACAAAAGATAGGGACATGAATTCACCATCGTTCTCTTTTAATTTACTTTTTCTCCATTGCTATTTTGGTCAAAGGTCTCACCATCTATCTTTTAACCTAAATCAATAGCACAGTAGCACAGTAGCAGAGTCTTCCCACTGTTCATCAATTTGCTCAAGCAGGCACCAGTAAGGTCTCCATTGTGAGACTTGTTGTTACTATTTTGGGCATATCGAATATGACACGGGGAGAATAATCCATGAGAAATCCCTTTCCTTTACCTTCCACTTATATTCAAAAGTGTCTCCAAACTGTTTTTTTCCCTCCTAACACTGGCAACCTCTCTTATCCTATTTCCTTTATCATTTCTCCAAGATCTCTATTTCCCTTTGGGAATCATTCTCAACTCTAAAGTGGCTAATTAGCATAGTTCTTCTATCACATTGCAAGAAATGTCATTCAAACCATTAATATGGGTACAAGTTAGATGAATTCTTGGGGAAAATGTTTAAAGAAATCATACTCTCAGATTCCAGGTGAGACTTAGCTCCAGCTGACACCACTGGGCCTAACATGGAACAGGAGGTAGAGCCCCTCCCTTCTGCGTAGGTTGCAGCAACCTCCACCCCTGACCTGTGCCATATAAATGAGCACACACCACAGCTTCTGAAGCATGCTGCCACTTACATGTGCTGCACACAGATCTACTCAATAAATTACATGCTGCTCACAGTCTTCCTGTCATTTGGTGAGGATTTGCAAAGAAAAAAGAGCAGCCCCAGCCTAATCCATCAGCTTCTTCCTGGGGGTCTGACAACAAAGACTCACCCCGATCACAGCAAGAACACTGAAGAAACAATAGGGAAAGCATGTAGATGCCCATCAAGTTCAATGCGCACAAGCAGTATCACTAAAGACATGAACATCCCCAGTTAATTTCAAAGTCCTTAGTGACACCATAATGACAATGATCAACAAGATCAAAGAAACGATGGCACAGTGAGTCAGCAATGCACACGAAAAGTATGCATCCAAATGAAAAACTACTACAATCAGAAATGACAGAAGTAAAGAATTTGGTAGGTGATATTAATAAAAATCCCATAGAAGCTCTTTATAGTAGAACAACAGAAGTGAGCAAAGATTAAGGAACTCCAAGAGGAAGAGGCAATCACTAGGAAACAGCAGAAGGTGGAAAACTGTCTGAAAAGAAACAAACAGCATACCAAAGAATTATGGAGTGTGTTCAAGAGGAAAAATATTAGAATCATTAGAGTCACTGAAGAACAGGAGGGTAAATGTGATGGAGAGACAATAGTGAAAGAAATCATCTATAAGAATTTCCCAGAGTTGGGCTGGAGAGATAGCACAGTGGGTAGGGAGTTTGCCTTGCACGCAGCTGACCCAGGTTCGATTCCCAGCATCCCATATGGTCCCCTGAGCACGGCCAGGAGTAACTCCTGAGTGCAGAGCCAGGAGTAACCCCTGTGCATCGCCAGGTGTGACCTAAAAAGCAAAAAAAAAAAAATTCCCAGAGTTGAGGATCATAGGCATTGAGATTCAAGATTCAAGTGAGATTCAAGAACCCAAGACAGTCCCAGCCAAAAAACTGCTCAACTAGGAAAACTCCAAGACACATTTTACTCGAAATGACAAAATTGAAAGTTAGAAAGAGAATACTGAAAGTGTAAGATCAAAAGAGGAACTTAAATACAAAGTAAAGTCCATAAGATGTACAGAGCTATCAAATGAGAAGCCAGAAGAGAGTGGAGAAAACAGTACAAAAACTCAAGGAAATGAACAACTCCATGAATCTCTACCATTTCTGACAGACTTGAGTAACACAAGTAACAATTTTTTAAATTATTTATTGTATTTTCCTTTAGCAAATTGTGACTTCCTTTATCAGGGGATTTGGTTCATACCCCCCATCCCCCGGAATCCACAGTATCTGTACATTGTATGATAAATAGCTGCCAAAAAATTATCTTAATGACGCTCATATGCAAGGAGAATGAACTTAGTTCATATACTCCAATAGGCAAAAATGAAAGCTAAATTGAGATGAATTTTAAGAATTTCCAAATAATGGGGCTGGAGCGATAGCACAGCGGGTAGGGAGTTTGCTTTGCATGCAGTCAACTTGGGTTCGATTCCTGGCATCCCATATGGTCCCATATGGTCCCCTGGAAACCACCAGGAGTAACTCCTGAGTGCATGAGCCAGAAGTAACCCTGTGTATCGCCAGGTTTGACCCAAAAAGAAAAAAAAAATCCAAATAACTGGGTTCTCCTTTTCATCGAAGCAGGCACTTCTGAGTTATATGCATTCTTGAATATTCTGAATGTATGTGTAAACAGTATGTGCATTTTTCTAGAGAGAAAAAATCCCTAACTTTTATCACAATTCCAAAGAGATACAAAATGCCCAAATAATTAAGATCTTTAAATGTTAGAGGTCAGAGCAATAGATATATAGGCTGAAGCCAGGTTTTATCCCCAGCACTGAATGATCACCCCTGAGCACTGCCAGAAGTAGCCCCAAGTACCACCAGGTATCGCCCCAACCCCCACCCTTTCACCACCAATAAAAAAAGATGTCAATATAGAAGGCAAATTATATTGGCAAATTTCAGTTTTGGAATATATTCCTCAAGGCAGATTTTGCCTAGACTAGATTTCAGTAACTAATACAAATATCCACGATAGTAGTAGCTTTATAGTCTTTGATGATTCATTTTAAAAGCATTTACTTAATGTCCATTATATGCCAGGTATTAAAGAAATAGTGGTAAAAAAATCCCTGCCCATAGAGAATTTAGAAAAGATCCGGGAAATGATAACAAAAGCTAAATAAGCAACAACAACAACAACAAAATTATGTAATAATCCCTACAACAGTGAAAGTGAAACAATATTAATGAACATGGAATGATGGGTATAGAGAGGAACTTATTTTAGCTAGCTTCCTGAGGGGAAATCTAGAGTTCACACTTGAGTTGAAACGAGGTAATGAGGAAGCTGTAGGATAAAGAGGACAAAAAGTGGAAAGATTCTGAGATGAGAACATTGAGTTCTCATCACTGACAACATAGGGCACTTGCATTCAACAGAAAGAGCCATGTCTTATGTCTAGCCTGAGTTACAGAACATTCATTCTGTATTCTGAATTACAGAACATTCAGATACTTCTCTCTCATTCACAGTCAAGAAAAGTTATTAAAGGTAATTCAGCATAACAATAATTCAATTGAGAAAAATGCAATTTTAGAAGGCGACTACTTTTAAATCATCATCAATTTTCTCTTGGCGGAGAGTGTATCATAGACAAAATGGGGAAAAGTGTGGGGCTTTTGTAATTGAGAGGAAAAGAAGAGAATAGGTAAAGGTTTTTCAAGGCATCTCTTTAAAGTAGATAGTTTTACAAGTATAAATATTAATAAGCAAATTCTAAAAACATAACTGAATTTAATCTACCCTCCAACGCTACAGCTTAATATTTTGGATTTTTTTAGCATGACCTATGGTGTAGATAAATGTGGCACTGCTGCTGCTGCTGCTGTGTGCAAACTAGAGGGATGATTCATTTCCCAAGGAGCTGTCCAATAATCAGGACGAACTTCAGTGGAAAAGTTGGTTAAGGGTTGGTAGGTCGTAAAAACACCTCTTGAGGGTGTTAGAGACCATCTACTGAAGAATTACTATCTGAACTGCCTGACCTACAAGGACTTATTCTAGTTCCTTCTCCCAGCCATTGGTCCCTTTACTAGCACTCATTATATTTAAGAGCCCCAAGTGCAATGAGCAGGATGAAATTTCATACACAACATACCTCATGCCAATAGCGAAGGGTTAACAAATTCCTTTTTCAAGGAAGGCGGACGCTGAGACTTTTATTTTTTTCATCTCACAATTCAAACTTGTGAATAAAATCTTCAAGTCATATTTAAAAGGCCCCATAAAAACCCGAAGCAGTGATCTCCCAACATCACGCTGAAGTCAAAACACAAGATACACGACACTGAACGACGCCGATTCTGATTTTATTTTCTACAAAAGCACCAATTCTGATTTTACTGCATACAAAAAGCACCGTCCAGAGCCTCCGGAGACCCAAGTCGGACTCAAAGCACCTGAACAGAGGGTGACGGGTTAAGCCGAGCAGGGAAGCGCGCTTGGGGTGTGTGCGAGGCCACCTGGAGAGGTGCCCGCGCCTGTGCGGGCTCCGCTGGTCCTTCCTGCGGCACCGCATCAGGAGGGACCAGGGTGCCGGGTGGGCGCGGGTCTCTGCTTCTGCCCAGAGAACCTGGGGTGGGGGGAGCTTTGAGAGCCTCCCAAACGCCACCCGTCTGTTTTCTCGAGCCTATTTCGCGGCCACCCGAGTCCCCCTTGCCGGGAGCATCCTTCTCCGCTCTGGTACCCGGCGGCGGAGCGGGTCTGCGCTTACCTTCGGGGGCTGCCGGCGGCTCCTGCCGCTTTCCCCGGGACAGGAAGGCCTTGGGGAGCAGCAGCGACACAGCCAGGACAAGCCCCGAGGCCAGGGCCACCCTTTGCACCGTGGAGTACGCCATGGCAGCCCGCTGTCCCCGCAGGTGCAGACGCGAACCCGAACCGGAACCGGAACCGCAGCGCCCAAGGCCTCCCGCGGCTGGACAGGGGCTGCGCTGACGGCGACTCACGAGGGACAAGTGCGCAGGCAAGTCAGCCTTCTCTGCCCGCGCCCTGCTGTTTGGATGAAAAACGCTTAGAAACTCCTCCTCCAGGCCCCACCTTCTGTGCAATTACCTCCTAAACCTGCGTCCTCACTTCCCACTCCAGATCCTCAGCATCCTCGTTACTGTCAAGAATTTAGTCCTCAGCATCTCCCCCTGCCCCCACCGCACCCATGCGCCTCACTTCCATTCACCACCGGCAGACAGGAGCGATAAAGCTGAAAGAGGCTAATGATCCCTCCCCACAGCTTAAGACTTTTCCCTAACTCCTATTTAGCCTCCAAAGACTCATCAGATTCCTTCTAGGTCCCAAGGCCTTGCATGATTCAGTATTACCATGATACTAGAAGTTCACTATTTCCCTGGAATAGTCCTTGCTTTATTCATGATTCGTTTTCAGATCTATAATGATCCAACACCCCTACTTCCACCAGTGTAAATTTCCCATACCAGTGTCCCCCCAATTCCCTCCCACCATCCTCCACTACCCACCCCCAGCCTGCCTCTATGACAGGCACTTTTCTTCTTTCTCCTCTCTCTTTCCTTTTCCTTTTGTGCATTATGGTTTGCAACATAAGTATCAAGAGTTCAATCATGCTTTTTCAGGGAATTCAATATTTTTATTGGAAAGGTAAAGCTGGAATAGCTTTTTAACTGGGTGGCAGCTTAACTTCATCACCTATTACAAACAGCTCTGGAGAAATGGAAAGTGTTCTTGTGAAACCCTTTCAGTTTGCCTCTTCTTCCTAGGTTCCCCCCAGTTTTTCCTTAATGTCTTAATTCATTTAATAAACATTCACTTAGTTCTGACTTTGTATCAAACCCTGAACTGGCACTTGATGGATTCCCTAAGGGCACATAGATATTGTAGAAAGAAAATGCAGGAAAGAGTCTGGAACCTGGAACTATCAGCTTGACAGAAAGAAGAAATCCAAAAGAGTAAATAAATTTAGTGATATTTTAAAAATAAGTTAATGAACAGGCAGAAAAAGTTTTTAAAAAAAAGTATTCTAGAAAGAGGACTCAGGGGCAACAAAGGTTAAAAACCTGAAAGCTTCCTGGTGCTCCAGAAACCATTACTAATTCATTTTTCCTGAGCCATAGGGTTGGTGACAGGATGTCAAGTGATAAGACTGCAGATATATGTTGTTGGGAATGGCAACTGGTACAGACTAGTGAAATGAGTGAGAGGGAAAGGGACAGACATAGAATGGTTGTACTCATTTGCAGGATATTAAAAAAAACATAGTATGAGATTAAAATCCAAGGACAATAGAAATGAGGGCCAGGAGGACTAGTCGATGATTGAATGTGTCACAAGTTGGGGTGGGGGAAAAGCAGTTAGGACAGAGAAGGGGCCACTATGACAATCATAGTTGGAAATGATCACTCTGGACATGAACTGAGTGCTGAGAGGAAGTAAGAAGTATATATGATAACCTTCCAGTACCTATACTGCAAACCATAATGCCCAAAATAAAAGAGAGAGAGAGACATAGGGAGACAGAGAGAGAGGGAGAGAGAGAGAGAGAGAGAGAGAGGGAGGGAGAAATGCCTGCCACAGAGGCAGGCTTTGAGGGGGACTCAGTGAGAAGGAAACTGGGAACATTGGTGGTGGGAAATGTACACTGGTGGAGGGACCAGTGTTGTTAGAACATTGTATGACTGAAACTCAATCATTAACAACCTTTTATCTGTGTATCTCATTGTGATTCAATTTAAAAAAATTTCAAGCAGGATCTAGATTGTGAAAGTGTCAGCTAAGACTTCAGTTAAACATGGCAGCCTTGCCACCACATGGATAAAACTAGAAAATATCATGCTGAGTGAAGTGAGTAAGAAGGAAAGAGATAGAAAGAATAATATCTCATGTGTGAGAGCAACAAATGGCCAAAGGTGACAAAAACTGGAAAGTTGGTTCACAAAACTGGTTTTACTACAGGGTGGCAGCTTAAAGGAGTGTCTTTGGGACCTTGTTGGAGGGAAGTGGGTAAGTGGATGGGACATCATCATTAACAGTATTATAAATCACTGATCCTCAATAAAGATTGTTTTAAAATAGCAACTATAATACACTCATTTATCTTGGCTTTCTCCAGACACATCATAAAAATGCAGAGATAAAAAAATCCCACTGGAAGGGGGGCTTTGTGGGCCATCCTCCACGCCCCACCGAGGTCGCCAGCTGCCCCCCACGAGTGGCTCTCCGGCACGGCCACGGCCCCGGAGGCACAAGGACTTAGCACAGAGAACCAGCCGCTTGGAGCAGAAAAGCAAATGGACTTGTGTTGAACCGCGCCACCAAGCCTGCCCGGAGGGGAAAGGGCGTTGACCGGCCCGCCCGCTCCTCTCTGGAAAGAAAGATGGCGGCCGCACGGGAGCCTTGTGGAAAGCAGGTTTGAGCCGGGGCTGGCGGGAGCGGCAGGGACCTCATGGGAAGGGGGGCTTTGTGGGCCGTCCCCCACGCCCCACCGAGGTCGCCAGCTGCCCCCCACGAGCGGCTCTCCGGCACGGCCATGACTCCAGGGCACAGAAACCAATCTCTTAACTAGCTAACTTTTAATAGGAATTCTTCCAGGGTCAATAAGTAAAATAGCAGAAATTCATTTTATTCTTAAACCAAGTTGTAGAAAGCAAATCATTTCACAACGCTGTTTCAGCATGTCTGATTGTGGGGGGTGGGTCGTAAACTCTAAACAATAATTGTGCATCTTCTATCGAAATAATCTATCTAGTCAAAGTAGATAGAGTATTAACTAGAACTCATCTGCCTCACAAGAATTGGGAGGGGTGGGAGGTGGGGGTCTATTGGGGTTCGGGGTTAAAAATGAGTATTGGTAAAGGGAAATGTGTTTGGTATCTACATGACTGAGACCTAAACCCGAAAGCTCTGTAACTTTTCCCACAGTGATTCAATAAATAAATAAATTATAAAAAAAATCCCACTGTAAGATTGAGTATAATGGTGAGGATACATTACAGTATATAAGAAATACCAAAATTTTGTAAAATGCATCATCATCTAATAGAAATATAATGCCAGAACTACATGATTTTAAATGTTCTAGGGTCTAGGGATATGACTGAAAGGGTTGAGCACATACCTGGCAGGTTTAAGACCCACTTGTGGTCCTAATGTCCCCTGGGCACCATCAGGTTCTGACACTGCAGCACCAAATCTAGCACGGAATCATCAGGCCTGAAACAGTAGGTTGAAGATTGCCAGGCATGAACCCCTAGGAGTCTCCTGAAGCATTGCTGGTTGTGAGATCCATAAAAATAATTTTTTCTAACATTGTGATGGAACAAAAAATGGTTAAAGTCATCAGAACTGAGGAATTTGTCTATAGAGCTGAGCTTGTTTGGGGGGTAGATGAGAGGGGTCCTAGGGATACTGGTGAGAGAACCAGGCTCTCTGGTAGTGGGTGCATTGTTAGACTACTGTATCATTGAAAAGTATGAGGAACAATATTGTAAATCCCAGTACCCCAATAAAATGTTTTAATGGCATCTTAAATACAAAACGTTTCTAATAAGTCACATTTTTAAAAAGCAAAAAGAAACAGGTGAAAATTAATTCCACATGGCTCCAATATATTCAAAATACTATTTCAACATGTGCAGCACTGGTAAGTCACATTTCAATGACTTAGTAGCAACACATACTTAGTAGTTATCATACTGATCACTGCAGGTGAAGGACACAAAATGTCAATGGCGACAGGGCAGGGGATGTGGTTAAAGTGGTGAAGCACAGGCACTATTTTCATGGGTCAGGCCTGGGGATAGAAATGTCACCACACAGTTGTCTCCAGTATCCCCACGCACTGGGAAAGTGTCCCAGCCCCCACCCCTCAAAAAAGTGAAGTGCATTAAAAGGGATTATAAAAAGTAAATTACTTCATTCCTCAGAATCTCTACTGCGTTAGGAATTAGATGCACTAGGATCTTCTTATAGTATAAGGAATGGGGGGTAGGGAGGCCCTGGAGCTACAGCACAACAGATAAGACCCTTGCTTTGCCAATCCCCAGCATCCCATATGGCCTTCCAGGAATGATACTAGAGTACAGATTCAGGAGTACGCCCTGTATACTGCTGAATATGGCCCCCAAACCAAAATACTAATATTAACAATATTAATAATAATAGCACTGTCCTCCCATTGTTCATCGATTTGTTCAAGCAGGCACCAGTAACATCTTCATTGTGAGACTTGTTATTATTGTTTTTGGCATATCGAATACGCCACAGGGAGCTTGCCAGGTTCTGCTGTGTGGGCAGGATACTCTCAGTAGCTCGCTGGGCTCTCCAAGAGGGACAGAGGAATCGAACCTGGGTTGGCCGCATGCAAGGCAAACGCCCTACCCACTGTGCTATCACTCTAGCCCAGTCCTGAAAAAAAACAAAAATAATTATTTGTAACGATATATATATATAAAATTTTTAAAATAATGCATAAGGAATGGGACTGAATTAAGAATTAGTTGAAAGTCTGATTGTAGAAACAGTTGGTTTCCTCCAAATCGACTCCCTTAATTCATGCAGTCAGTGGTTGCTCCCACAGACATGGCCCAGGCATCTGTATTGTTGGTAACAGCACCACTCAAAGGTACCAAATTGCAGTTTATTGTTTAGAGTAGCTGTAATAGCCGTGGCAGCAGGCCTCATAGGCACACTTTTGAGTGCTTTATGTGCAGAGTACATTGATGGGGTCCCAGGGAAATAGCTTGGGGACAGGAGTGTGTGCTTTGCATATGGAAGGTCCAATTCTCTGAATCACCAGAACCTCATGGCTCCTCAAGCATCAATGGATGTAGCTCTGGAGGCCCCACACTGCTGGATATAGTCTTAGTAGCCCCAAGTGCTCCTGGGTGGTCCTAATGGCCCCAAACACAACTAGGCCTGAGTACATGGCAACATCTCACTCTGGCATTGAAAGACTGATTTAGTTGACTGAGAATCACCAGAAGTGCTCCCTGAGTTCACTGGTTGGGAGCACCTCCCCCACAAAAAAAAAGAGAGAAAGAAATACATTGCTCATAATAT